TTATTTCCACAAAGCCCGCTCGCAGGCTAATACTCCAAGAATCTTGGAGTATTTGCCTGACACGTGACCAGCGTTTACCAGGGCTATGTCGCCGCCTTGAATTCGCGACTAGCCCTGGGTACGAGGTTGTAAGTAAAGTTGCTGTACAAATGATAGGCCTCTATTGCTTGACAAGGCATAGCCACAATAACTGATTGAGCACAATGTGCAAGGCAAGTTGCACGTTTTTTTACTCAGCAAAGTTTTGACCCTAACATATCATATATCATAGCCCACATTAAAGACGATGTATACACAGCGTTCATTCCCCTCGCCTCAAAATTTCTCTTCCTCTCCTTATAAATGCAAAATTTTAGTTGAATTTCCGGCTTTCCGAGGGTCTACCATTCAAAATTTTCTCGAGGAAGCATTCCCCAAATCCCCAACGGTAGATTTGGCCCCGTATCCATCATGCCAATTCATTCACAACACCTATACCATTTGAAATTCAGTGGCGAGGCTAGAGGTCATACTTGGCAGAAGTAATTTCTTTCAAATTTTCCTCTAATAACAATTTTTTGTTGTTCTCTTTGCATGGATTTCACCCTAAAATCGCAGGAAATGGCCATTCTGGACTTCTAAATTTCAAACATTTCTGTGGCAGCTTTCCCCCCAACCACCCCAGGATGTGCAGATCTTGGAGAATGGAATGGAATCAAACAGTACGTGGAATGGAATCAAACAGAAAATGGAATCAAACAGTACGAAATTTGGAACCTGGTGACTTAGTGTTAATATTGGACCCAAATCAGCCAACAGGACGGTGGCTAAGGGGCAAAATTGAAGAAACATTCCCAGACGACCGAAACGTTGTGCGATCAGCCAAAGTCTTAATTCAGAATGGAGTATTACACAGACCTGTGACTAAATTTATACTCTTATTAAGAGAACATTAATTTCTATAGAACATTAACTTATTTTGTAGTCGCCCAGCTGCTCCGCCACTGGACTGGGCGGGGAGCATGTTTATACGATTGAATGATTTTGCATATATGTAAGTAGTGTGCCAATGTGTGGGTGTTATGCAACTATAAATACGGACTTTGCTAAGCGAACTATAGTTAGTTATTTATGAAATATCGTGAAGAACTTGAAGTCAAACTTGAAGTAATATTATATGAAATGAAGTATATGAAGTTAAATATATAAAGACAAAACACTGAATTTCAAACACTACTTCCAGATAACGTAAAATTTCGCAACGTCCCTGGGTATATAGGTGAAGTGTCTGTGCCAGTGTAGGTCGCGCCAATAATAACAAAGCTTTCGTTGGTAGGAAAGCGACTACTTGAGAAATATTTATCATTTATAGACTCGGAGCGAGGGGGATTCGGCGTAATATTTCCCGAAGTGATGATATTTTCCGAGGGGCTTTGCCCCTAGGAAAATATCATCACTGAGGGAAATATCACCGAATCCCCCGAGCGGAGGGTCTATAAATGTTATATGATACCGAAAGTTAAAGAACTCACTAGTAAGTTCAGAATAAACTCTAAAACGTGCTGACTATGAACTACGCGAATACAATTTTTAATTTCTCATGTATACCTGAGTTTTTGACGTTTCCTCTTTAAAATATTTGAGCATGTATCCTTTGGATCATTAAAGATAACATACGTCTTGAAAATCTTTGGTTAAATCAAATCTTCTGTACCAAATTACAAACAACAGCTCGCGAATGCAATATTGTTTCAGAGCGTGGTGTCCACGCGTAACGCGTGAGCGTGGGATACTATAATATCCCACAGTAGAACTGCCGTGGGATATTATATCTCACGCTGCATTGCGAAATCATGAATATGAGTGAAATACCGTAAAAAATCACATTATCACGTAGTACAAATGCCGTTTTTTTCATTGGACAATTTGAATTTGAGGTAGAATATAAGGAGAAATTTGACGTTTCGAGCGAAGGCCCTTCATCGGGCTACTAATTTCACGACCAAAGGCCTTCGCATCGATATTTTTCAGGTAGTTGCACCCCTACCAACGAAAGCTGGGTATACGCATAATACTTGTAGGTGGCAGACCATTTCCTTAATTGCACTTCAGTTGCGTGATTATTTTTTGGAGGTGGTAATAGAAATATTTCCCAGACTCTCAGCAGACAACTATACAACGTAAAATGAAAGAATTCGCAAACCTCTGCTACGTCTACGTCGAAACTCCATGTCTGGACAGCTTCATTTAGTTCACGTAGGTCACCAAAACACAAATGCGATTCTGAAATAATGTGGAAATACATGTTGTTATGTTAAGACACAAACTGTAAAACATGTACAGAATATACATTTCCTGTACTTTCATCTCTAAATTACTGTTATCAAAATTGTCCTACTGTCCTTTCAATTTCTATAAATTACTGTATTATAAATTGTGTTCAGTAAATATATCAGTCTACAGTGATGATAAATGTACTAGAAGCTTCTCAATTTCCTAATGTACAGTGTATCTCCTACCAATTAGTACTGAGCACAATATTTTGGATTTGCTCTATTATTAAATTAGGTATGTTACAGCATGTTAGTTCTAAATTCGGGTTTTAATTCACTTATTCTTTTAAGCGGTTTTTACCATTAGTACAAAATTAACCCCATAAGTGGCAATGGGGCCCATTGCGGCCATTTTATTATTTTACTCTGCCTAAAACTAGACTTTACTCTTGAACTAATGATGATTGCTTAGCTTTTGATTTATTTGTGAATAGGACAGAATGATGCACTCCAGAAATATTAAATCAAAATAATTAAAATAAGTAACAACCGTTAGCGTGTCACTCCCTCTTTATCAATTGTTTATGCACACTTTTAATATGAAAATGCGCTTTCACTTTTCAGATCTGATGTGTCATAGGTACACAAATCAGTTAGCTTACAACCAGTGGCGAGCGCCTTGCCGCACATTGCGGGGAAGCAAATTTAGGCTACCAACCCTTTTCCTGCTGTCAATGACAATCTACACACAACTTTGGGTCCTTCAAATACATTTCAAGAAAAAAATATTGGGGGATTATATTTGAATTCTGTACGGAAGACAAATAATTACAATTGTATGTTCCTTGCAATAAATGAATTGCAATTTCATTACCTTTGGCCTTACAGTCATTCAGCTCATCACACGAGAGATTAAGAATCTTAAGTAAAGCTTCCATTCTTGCAAAAGCGGCTTCAAATTTTTCTTCAGTCCAATTTGTTAAGTCACCACAATGCGCCCACTCGTTTCTAACGAGATTCCGAACTTTATCTGCATGCTCAGCAGCTCTGGTAAATCGTGGAGCTTTACCAATCAC